AGGGGGAAGAAAGTGTCGTATAAGGTATAAATATGGTGTATGGAGAGCAGAAGAGCCAATAATTGGTTGTTGTTGTTTTTTCCTTTGGTAGTCGATGGTAAGATGAATTGATGTAATTACTTAATAATACAACATGATATTGACTATGTAATAGTATACATGTGATTATATGCTATGAAAATGGAAAATAAACAAATTTTCTATCTGAAAAATAATAATAATAATAAAGGCAGGATAAAATAAAAATAAAAAATACCTGCCAGAAGAAAACCAATGCAATGCAGATGAGGCTTCAAGACCAAAAGGAGAAGTATACCACTGCAAAGCCAGATGGTTGGACTAGGGATAATCCCAAACAAGAAAGAGGACTATGATGAATTTTGCCTCTGTTATGAAGCATAGTTTATTTTTATTTGTCAAGTTTAGATACCTCCCATCTCACTCACAGAGTGACTTTAGTCAGGATGCTCTTAGGCATAGCAGCAGGAGACGTACAGTTGGTGACCAACTAAAGACTTACAGGAAGAATTAGAGATTCATATGGAACAGCCCCCAGAAATTCTTTCAGAACCTGATGAGCAAACTACAGAAAAGCATTTAGGAACTAAAGCAGGCTGTTAGTGCCTGAAATGAGAAACTAAACCAAGTGTCCTTTAAGGAAGGATTTGAACAGAGCAAGGCTGATCCTGTCTAAACTTGAGATTTATAAGTAATAAAGACACCTTTATCCTGAATTAACATTGATGGTTTAATAACTTTTAATGAGGATAAACAGGACAAGAAGATTCCGAAAGACTCGGCCAGGGAAGAGCTTGGTAGCATTTCCTGTTATAGTTTGAAAAAGCTGAGTAAGAAAAATATTTCTTCAGGTAGAAACAGAAAATTATGGTCGTTTTAAAATGTCTATGGCCAATTCAGCCAACAAACCTATGGAGGCTAAATTCCTAAAGGAAGAAGAGCAACCCTCATCTGATAACAGTAAATATAGAAGGCACTTGGAAAACTCATATGTGTCAACAATAACTAGACCAAATTTGGGTACAGCAGTGGAAGTTACATACAAGAGTACAGATAGTCCTTGACACTGCAAAACAGGATATACAAGAGCAAGGATTACAGTACTATCCTGTAAAACAAATTATTGCTAATTTGCCAACCAAGCCACAACCACACAAGTCACACAAACAGGATAGAAATAGTGAATGTGTGTTCCAGATGATGGGAAGGGGAGATTGCATTATCTCTTTCCATCTATGAACCTTTGGACCATTAAAGTTAATGGCAAGAGATACAGGGATGCAAAAATATTAACAATTCAAATGGGTTCACAAACTTTTAAGCACCTCTGTGGTGTAAGGGGAAGGTTTCTTTCATACTATGTCTGTCATCCAGCCTATAGGTAGTAAAGTAAGACTCTTATGTTTAAGAAACTAAGGAACTACCTGTTTTCTCCCTCCTGCCTGTGTCTCTCGTGAAGCCATTGTTTAAATAGAAGAGACATATAGTATAAATAGAATTGCATATATATTAATATGATGAATGTATATTTGTATTTATTCATAGCTGGGACCTGCTGCTAATTACTTCTTTTAGTACTCTACACATGTTCAGAAGCATTTCCTGAACTCCTATTAAAGAGTCCCAACTGAGTTCAAATCTCCCAGTGAAATATAGAAAGAAATATTCTGTGGTCTAATATATTTAAGTGATGAATTTAAGTACATTTCTCCAGGCCCTTCATTATCAGGAACTTGTGCATACCAGTCCCATTCTGTATTCCCAATGTGTCCTTTAGCACATGAAATACGTCATCAGTGCTTTTATAAAGTTGATTAATAAGAAAACTTTAAGTCGCAGAGAACACAGACTGCATCAAAAGTGCATATCGTGCAATACGTATTTGATACCTATTTGTCTTGGGGATCATATCAACAATTCATGTGTCTCCTAACAGCCAGTATTCACAAAGTCTTTCTGTTGCAGGTCAGGTGAAAATGAGCTGCAAGTAGAAGACATAACTCAGTATATTTATTCTGAAGGTAAGTTGGTTGCTGGATCTTCTTTGCCTGGCATTTGAGGGCAAAGAAGAAAATGTCACTGTGATCAATACAGACGAAGTAAATAATTCCATTGAACATTTGAAGATGCCTGCATTGGGACAGGATGCTGGACTAAATGAAGCCTTTGGGTTAGATCCAGGAGAGCTTTATTTTGTTGTATCTACTAAACTGAGAAAATACCTTCAATTCTCCTTCTGGAGTTTTTTAAAATTAGGAATGTTACAACAGATCACCCATTCACAGTTCCATTCAAATTTACATGTGTACAGATGGATGCTGGAATGTAATTTTGCCAGCGGCATAGAATGCACTGAGAGTAGATACATATAAACAGAAAGAGGAACAGTTAAAGTTAAACTGGGAGTATTAGTGCAACAACCATTGAGTTTAATATTTAATATAGACATGTACCAGCCACAAAAGAAAAAAGGGCTTGGAGACTAGAAAAGCAGCATTTGCCAAACATTCAAAGAATGTGTATTTAAACCATGCCTTTGCATTTCAAACATGATCAATAAAAGCCAAATATTACATGATTTAAAACATGCTTACAATTCATTAACATATATGAAAAACTTAAATAAAAAGAATCATTGAGACTTTTTCAGAACTGTAGCAATGCAAGGAACAGCTTCAGCTCCAATTGCAAGGAATTCCATAGACTTGGCTCCACTGTGGAAAAGCAAAATTAGCTGTAAGCTAATCTTTTATTGGCATGTTGAGCATATCAGTATTGGAATCTAAAGAAGTCAAGTCTTTGAATCAAGAAAAAACTCCATTTTGTCCAAATTTAGCTTCAGTTTGTTTTTCCAAAACCAGTTATTTACACTTTAGAAATCAGCACAGGGAGGATCTTGAGACATCCACATTCAGCATGCCATAAAAGGACAAATATAGCTAGATATCCTCAGCATATGAATAGCAGATAGTCCTGAAACCACATATAATCCTTTCTTATGATTTCTTAATTAATTAATGTGAGATCAGATTTTTGGGCCCTTTTTCAGAGGGGCAGACAGAATTGTCCCAGTGAAATCTTTTGGTGGTAAAGCCAATTCAAAGGGATGCCAAATAAGTCAAGTATTGGTGAAAATGCTGGACTGTGGGGAAGAATTGGAAACATGTAGACAAGGAGAAGAAAAGAAATGAGCATACATGGTATGTAGTTCTGTGCGTTTCATATATATTCTATATGAATCGATATATTCTTTTTTTATGTATAAATTTTTATTTTAAACACATAAGCACATCAACAGAAACAAACACATGACTTAAAAACAACATAGGAACAGTAAGTTCCATCGTATATCATACAGCAGTTCCGTATCAGTTTCTTTGCAGTTCGTGTTTTCCCTTCTATACATTTCTATCTTGCATTCATGGTCCCCTTATTCGTTATCCATTTTTATGTACAATTCTTTAATTATTTATACTTAGCTACTTATGACCAAATATTATTTGCCTATATTGTGCTTTATATTTTTACTGTCATTTATTCTCTTACATACAGTTATAGGTATACATTCACATAGTTATTCTTTTTCTTTGCCATTCTTATATTATTATTATTCCATTTAAAAGGTTATAAGGTATAGTTTGGAATGCTTTGTTTACCATCCTTCGCACCTGCTATGACACCACCTTATTTTCTCTTTCTTTTCTTTTCTCCCTCCCTTTCTTCTCTACTTACTTCCTTCCTCCTCTCCTTCCCCTTCTTCCTTCCCTTACTTCTCCCCTACTCCTACCCTCTTTCTTCTCCTTCCTACCCTCTCTCCTTCTCTTTTTCTCTCTTCCACCCTCCTCTCCTTCTCTTTCTCTCCCTTCCACCCACCTCTCCTTACCTCTTTCTTCTTCCCCTACCTCTCCTCTACACTTCTTCTTCCTCTCCTACTATCTCTCCTTCTCTTTTTCTCTCTTCCACCCTCCACTCCTTTCCATTCCTTCGTCCCTCCATTCTCTACTTCCTTCCTCCCCTCCTTTCCTTCCTTCTTCCCTTCCTTTCTTTTTCTATTGTTATAGGTGTCTCTTTCAAATCCCAGTTCATGTTTTCTTGGGGATGATATTTCCACAAGCCCATTTTTGTTTCATATCATTTCCTTTTTTCTCTAACATTCTACAGTCTATATGCCAGCTATCGTCCTGATTTGATTTCACCAATCATGACCCCCTTGTTTTACTCATAACTATTATTTTTGAGTGTTATTCTATTCTTTCATTGCTTTTTATTTCTTGGCTCCATCCATCTATACCAATTATCCCATATCTGGTAGAATTCTGATTCTTCCTTTCCCTGTATTTCTTTCGTTAATTTATCCATTTCGGCACAGTCCATGATTTTTCTTATTATTTCATCTTCATTTGGGGTTAGTTTGTTTTTCTATATTCTATATATCCTCAAAATTAATCACTTGGTTGTATCTTCCTCCAAGATACCAAAAGTGGAAGAAGGTTCCACAGTTCATAGTTTGTTCTTTTTCATGCGTGGAACCAGAGTTTGATCTCAACTGGTACTTTATAGACTTAATGCTTTATCTCTGTACAAAAGAAATGGGTTGTCTAGTGGTTAAGGCACCAGACTAGAAAATGGGAGGCCATGAGTTCAAGTCTCATCTTAGCCATGAAAATCTGACTTTGGGTCAACCCCTCTTTCTCAGCCCAATCCACCACACAGGGTGGTTGTTCTCAGGAAAATAGAAGGAAGGTGTGTTGGATATGTCCACTGTCTTGAGTGGACGAAGCCTCCCGCCGCCAGCACCCGATCCAGGGCAAACTGGCAGATACCCACCTCTGGTGTGTGTGTATCTCACACTAAAATGAAATGAAATAATAAAATAAAATACATCTCTGAGCAAATAAAACCATAAATGGTTCAAGAAAGGAAGTGAGGGATTCTCATCCTGTGAACATGGGCTAGGCAACAGAACAGAGGTAGTTCTGGGAAAGGATTGCAAGGAATAGTTACAGAGTTCAAGCACAATTAAGGCTGCATGGAATCCTACAAATGTTTTGGATATAGCGCAATAACATTACGGGAATTTGATTGCTAAAGTTGTAATAATCTAATGGCAGGTAAGCAATCTGCATATCATTATAGTAAATTGGAAGTAATTTGTATGTACAATTGTAGCCTGTTGCTAAGACTTAGAGAGCTAAAAAATCAACTCTGAGCCTCGAAGAGAAACTTAGATTTCTCTCCCTTGAAACTTCTCTCCTTCCTCTTTTCTCTGCCATTGTCTATCAAGGTGAACAGCTAGAAGCAATGGTATCAGCAGAAAAGTATACAGCATTGGGATCAGCAATTCAAAAAATGGTGGTGAGCTTAGCGTTCCCACAATACATTTCACAGTCCTTGGTGAACGTGAAACTGTTCTTCAGATGGTTGTAAGGAGAAACCTTATTGTAGTTTAATAATTAACACACTTCTAGTGGAACAAATCATACAGGCAGTTCCTTTGAATTGTTTCTTCTACAGTTGATTTTATTGTTGAAATCAAACAATTTTCAGTTTATTTTTTAATTTTTTAAAAAACAAACAGACTGAAAAGTGTGTTTTGTCAACAGAAAATGAAAAGCAATTTAATATTCAAATTTTTCCTCTATTATATCTTGATGGCTTGACAGACTACCCCAAAGTAGTATAAACTTGAACAGTCAATTAAGGTGTTTCTGGATTCTAAAATTATGTTTAATTTTGTATTTTCTAAACTTGCATATTTTCATTTTAGATCAGTTTGTATTCAAACTCTTTCTGGAGTTGTACATATTTAAAAGATCTATACCTATATCCCCCTCTATATCTATATATAATATTACATATTTTAAAGATCTATATCTATATTTTATTTCATATATTCCTTTCAAATCAAAATTATTTGTTGAAAACTAATATAATATTAAAATTTCCCACTTGAAATCATGAGAAGTGACAGTGGCAGGAGATGCATCAATTTTAATTTTTAATACAGGGTGGTATTCCTTGACTTACAACCATTTCTTTAGTGACTGTTTGAAGTTGCAACAGCACTGAAAAAAGTTACTTATGAGCGTTTTTCACATTTACAATTGTTAAAACTATCCCCATGATCAAAATTTGGACACTTGGCAAGTGGCATGTATTTATGACGGTTGCACTGTCCCGGAGTCATGTGATCAGCTTTTGTGACCTTCTGACAAGCAAAATAAGGGGTGAAGCCAGATTCACTTAACAACCGTCTCACTAACTTAACAGCTACAGTGATCCACTTGTTTGTGGCAAGAAAAATCATAAACCGTGTTAAAACTCACTTAACAACTATCTTGCTCAGCAACAGAAATTGGGCGGGGTCAGTTGTGGTTGTAAGTCAAGGACTTAGCTATATGATAAAGATCAATAAATATAAACTATAGAAACAAAAGCTTTTGGGGGGTCCTCCATAAATTTTAAAAGTAGGAAGGGGTCCTGAGAGAAAACTGTTTAAGAAACTCTGATATAGCAATAGGAATAGCAGTTAGACTTATATACCGCTTCATAGGGCTTTCTGCCCTCTCTAAGCGGTTTACAGAGTCAGCATATCGCCCCCACAGTCTGGGTCCTCNCTTGAGCCGGTGAGATTTGAACCGCTGAACTGCAGCTAACAGTCAGCTGAAGTGGCCTGCAGTACTGCACTCTAACCACTGCGCCACCTCGGCTCTTATTTCAAATAAGACCCTGTCTTATTTTTGGGGAAACACAGTATCTGAACTTATTTTGTTATTAGGGAATTGTTTTATGAAGTGGTTTCATACAGTTCTGATTTATGCATCATGCGAGGAAATGATTCATTAAATAAACCACAATTAGATAGGTTCACACAGGATGCTAAGTCAAAGCTCAACGAACAAGATTTACTTGCTGTAAATTGTAAATTTAAATTGTAAATTGATGAATCCAGTCACCATTACTACAGTGTAAAAGTTGTAGTGAGCAATATGAAAAATGATGGGGAAAAAAATATGCTGAGTGGTTCTGGAATAGCCCACATTGGCATGTTTATATGGTATGGTTTCATATTTCTAAATCATGGTTTAGCCATGATTTGTTGAATCACATTAGCTGTTTCACACCTACTGTAAGCCACAGCCAAATAAATCATATTGTAGCTTATTTAGATTTTTAAATACTTTTTTTTTAATCTTGCTTTTGTTACTTTTTAAGCAACTCAAGGTGATGAACATACCTAATATTCAGGGGTGAAATGCTACCGGTTCGGACCA